CAGGACAGGGGACACCTCCAGTGACGACAGTTGAGTTCACCTCTCCTCCAAGCGACGTCGACGAGTATGTGGATGCCTTCCACGACGGTGAGGAGGTGAGGTTTCGCAGGATGGACAACCTCGTTGGCAACTCGATTGTACCAGGATTGGCAAGTCGATTACTCGACGATCAGGAGGTGCTCTTCGTCAGCGCAGAGGAGCCATCGACTTTCGCGCAGGCCGAGCGCGATGTCAGTTGGAGACGAGCTATGCTAGAGGAGATGAAGGCGATCGAAGAAAATGAGACGTGGGAGCTCGTCGATCCACCTCCAGGCTGTCATCCAATCGGGCTCAAATGGGTCTACAAGGTCAAGCGGGACGAGTGTGGCGCCATAGTCAAGCACAAGGCGCGCCTCGTTGCTCGCGGTTTCGTCCAGCGTGAGGGCATTGACTTTGAGGAAGTTTTTGCACCAGTGGCGCGCATGGAGTCAGTTCGCCTACTGTTGGCCATGGCGGCAGCGAAAAACTGGCGCATTCATCACCTAGACGTGAAATCGGCCTTCCTCAACGGCGAGCTAGCGGAGACTGTCTACGTTAAGCAAGCCCCGGGCTTCGTCGTTAAGGGAGAGGAGCACAAGGTGTTGCGACTGCAGAAGGCACTTTATGGGCTGCGTCAAGCCCCACGAGCGTGGAACGCCAAACTCGATGCCACCCTGGTTACGCTTGGGTTCACGCGTTGCGCGACAGAACACGCGCTCTACACGCGACGACGGGGGAAGGAGGAGCTCGTCGTCGGCGTGTATGTAGATGACTTGATCATCACCGGGGCAAGAGAAGAGGACATCAACGGCTTCAAGCGCGAGATGGCAGCTCGTTTCCGCATGAGCGAACTCGGGCAGCTCTCCTACTACCTCGGCATCGAGGTGAAGCAGGGGAGAGACTCCATTACTCTCTGCCAGCGTGCATATGCGGGGAAGCTGTTGGAGCGGAGCGGCATGGCTGACTGCAAGTCATGCGTGACTCCGATGGAGGAGAGGCTGAAGCTGACGAAAGCCAGCACCGCTGGGAAGGTAGATGCAACACTCTACCGGAGTATCGTCGGCGGGCTGCGCTACCTAGTCCACACGAGGCCAGATATCGCATTCGCCGTGGGCTATGTCAGTCGCTTCATGGAGGATCCTCGAGAGGATCATTGGGCTGCAGTAAAACGGTTGTTACGCTATGTCAAGGGGACGGTGGATCAGGGCATTATTTTTCCCAAGACCGGCGACAGAAGAGAGTTGCGACTCACGGTTTTCAGCGATGCAGACATGGCAGGCGACATTGATGGGCG